TATTTTTTTATGAAAATGGTCAAAATACATTCTTTTGCAGAATTATCTACAGTATATATTACAGTCACATGAATTTTTCGGTTTTGTGTTAACTGCGACATTAAAATCACTCCATTTTTAAACACCTAGTAATCATATTACCGGTTGAAGGTGAAGAGAACTGCTGACCCTAGGATAATGAGAAAACTCAACCCATAAAATAGTTTTGTTAATTTATTTGGCAACTTCTTTCGGTACTTTCTTTCTGAATGTAGGGATATTGCTGCGCGAAACTGTCTAGTCAGCCACAACCACGAAAGCGGCCGCATTGTGAAACTCTGTGATTTTGGACTTGCCCGTGACATCTACAAGAATGACTACTACCGCAAAAGAAATGAACCAAAACTGCCCGTTCGGTGGATGTCTCCAGAGGCAATCCTAGAGGGTCTTTTCACTAGCAAGTCAGATATATGGTAAGAAAAAGAATATTACTATTTCATTATGCTGGAGCACAATGATGATTTCGGGAATTTTTGAGCTGGATCCACCTTATCCAACGCATCACTTTAACGAGTGTTTTTAGGAAAATTTGACTAAAATTGCATCAATTTTGGGAACAAGTAAAATGCCCAGACCTACCGCATTGTCAGCACGATAAGAAAGGTTAAAGGCACTTATCATTTTTCCTGATGACACCAGGAGATGTCATAAATCCTATGCTAGCTCTTTTGGCTAATGTTAAAAGCCAGATGTTGTGAGTTTTACATGGGTAACAGCGAAATAGTAGTAGCAAAGTTTTGTTCACTATTGCGGATATTTAGTTCCGCTACCTATTTTGATTTTATTATTCGTTCTAAATATTGTAGTTAAACTACCCTGGGCTTAATGCAACTATTCAATTAAATTTGTGGGTAGGACAATTTATTACACCAGGTTTTTAAAATGTAGAAATCGTTAGTTGGGGCACCAGCAAAATGTTTCAGCATATTTTTTACTTGTCTCAGTCGCATTTTACACTTTCACTTTGTAGCATGGAGTTGTGAGATGGTTAACCATTTCAAATTGTGAATTGATAGCCAAACATTAAAATGTCTCATTACACCCACTTTCTATTAACTGCACAAACTTCAATGGGATAAAAGACAACTAATGGGAAAATTTGAATTTTCGGTTTATAAACCGGTAACCAAGGTTAAATTAAGCCGACAAGCAATGCCTTTCTAATGTACTATTGACGTTTGCATGGATTGTTTTACAAATTCTGCCTTTTGGAATCCACTACTCTTAACATGGCTCTGTTAATGGCAAATGAACGTAGAGTAATAAAACTAACGTTATATCAAATGTCAAGAGACAGTTTTGCAAACACCAATACAATGTCATGTTTGGGCAAAATCTTCTCCCCTTTCCAAAGTTAACAGCTTGGCTTCTGGTTATTAGTCAATCTCACCAAAAACGTCGGAGTCACACACTATGCCATAATGATGGAGTTAAAAATCCACACATTCGCAAACACAAATATATATTATCCTTTTTTCAAGCTACGGAAACCCCTGAAACTCAACCATATGGAACTACCATGCAAACTCAATGATTTTTGCTTCAAAATGAGCAATAATTTCTGTCATTTTAATGTGCCTCTAAACTATTTCCATGATGTTTGAAAGACATCTCCTAAAATTACAAATTTGACCCCTTTTTTGCTATATTAGTCAATCCTTAGGGTTTTGGTACAAAATATTAATGAATTTAAGGTAAGAAGTGGCCTCAACTTTGAAGTTTTACATCCGAATATTACCAGACATCAGTTTTGCATAATTTCACGCGAAAGGGTTAAGTATTGTCTAAAAGATGCACAATGAAATGCGACTAATGTAATGGAAATCACTGCCAATATGCTCTTATAGTCTATTATTAAAATCCCAGTGAATATTTATTTCTTTAATAACTTCCAGCCAAGATTTATTCATGGTGGTTTAAGATTTTCATGATTCTTTTGTACAAGTAGGTTGTTATGAATGCTGTACATATTGGCATTCAGGCGACAATAAATTTGGTCAAACCTGTGCAATATTTGTAGCAGATTGAGGCAATATTTATTCACGTTATTTATAGCAAAATTTTAAGTGAATCATTTACTCCACTACAGTATACTTTGGGAAGTATCTATCTCTTCTGTGTTATTGTTCTTGAAATCAAACTACTTCAATATGATTGGGCATTTTTTTGATGGTCATTATACGCTTTTATTACAAACTTCTTGCTGCGTTCTTGTTCTGCGGAAGAAAATAGCAGATTAGGTGTCTGTTGGTTCCTTAGAAGGAATTTCGTGCTATTAATTAGTTACTGCACTTCATGTGGTTTTGAATGCAGACGTTAAACTTTCTGGACCGGTTTTTAGTTTTCTACTGTAGACTACACGTCGTTCTGCCGGGCTATTTTCTAGAAGCCTTTTTAGACTAATGTGGAAAATTTTTTTGAAAAAGCAAAAAACTTTCTGAGTGAATCAATCTAATACTTTTCTACTTTCACTGTAGTAGGACGGATTTGATGAAATGCTCAGTGTTGAGTGCAAAACACGTCCTTGAATGACGTTTTATTTTGCAGACAAGTTTTTAAAAACTGCACCAAGAAAAGGTATTTATCTTATAGACAAGAATGCTTGGCGATTCGCGGAGGGGTCTCATTCGTCACCTCATAAGTAAACTAAAACCATATACAGTGCAATTTTAGAAAAATCCGTAGGAGATTTTTCCCCAGTTTTAAAATCCAATGATAAGAGTTCATGTTGTGGATGTTAAAACGAGTTTTTGAGTATCAGTTTCTTTGCAAAGAAGAAAATTTAACTAGAATAAAGTGTTTACGAGTAGATTTCCACCGGTGTGTACGCATTGAATGCTAATCCTTACTTATCGAAATTTCGCTCAAATATAGTTTAGAGATGAAAGTCCTAATGGATGGCTGTATTTGCAGAAACAGTAAAAACGTCTTTAAAAAACCGAGAAGACTGAAGAGTAGGTGTCGTCAGTTACACCAAATTTTGTTTCATTTCATTGGGCTCAGAATAAACACCACCTGCAGGGTTTTTACAACATTCAAGAATAAAATTATTTGATGGCTATCTTGCGGTCAAACAAGGTAGCCTCCACGTACTCTACCACCGTTTGATTAATATAGTTGTTTGCTCTAAAACGGCACGACTATTGCAGCAATAAACAGCTGTTTGTGTCAGTGAAATACTACACCACTGTGGTAATTCCGCGCAAGGTAATTCATGCCTGAATGTGCAACATTGTTTGTGAACATGCGTAGACTATTTGACGTTGAATAAGCATCCGAATGATACGTAAAATTTGCCTCTTAAGCAACCTCTAAATCTGAACTAACGCTGTCCTTTTCGTGTTCCATGTATAGCAATTGAGGAGTACCCTTTGTAATTACCAACTTATGAGAAAATATAATGAAATTTCTTTTTCTGTTTGCCCATAGGTTATGCGTATTCTTAAACGTTCTTTAAAGATTCTTGTTGGTGCAGCTCAATGCCCATTTTCCTCCGTATAGCTATCATTTGCTTTGTTCCACCTTATAAGTATATCTCATTAGCAAAACTCGGTCTCTTCAAATGTAGTTCATTTCTAATTTACACGCATCCATGCCCAGCATCTAAGTACAGATGAACAACCGGCTTGATAATGAACTTCTTAAAAGGAACAAAAGTTGTCCTAAATGGTCTATCTTTTTGTATACATGCATTCATGATATACCAGACCTGTATTACAGTAGGGTCAATGAACTCGATGACCGTTAAACGGTGTCACCGCGTTAATGTGACAGCAGCGATACAAAGCATGACCAATATCTGGTTGCAAACGAGGCTGATTTTGACAACACATCAATCACTCTTGCCGTGAATCAGGTTTCTTGCTAGAGGTGTTTAAGGTACGGTAATGGCAAAATAATTATCCTTTTGGGTACTGCTTCGTCCAATTTATGATCCTATCGATAAAACAATGTTAATATCGTGGATTTTTCAACACAACTTAAAAAAATGGTATTTAAAATGGGGATTGGCATCAGTGCGTGCTTCATTTACATCAGGTTACTTGTTGTTGAATAAAAGTGGAATCATCATAAATAGGTAAATTGCTTCAATATTCGTTTGGAAAGCAAATAGCCATGATTCAAGGCATTAAATGACTTATAATGTTCCGATTTATAACACTTTAATGTACATTTTCGATCCTTTTCAAATTCAAAAATGAATCGAATTATCTCTACGAAAAATGGCACCAGTTTTGGAATTTTTTATTGTAGATTTTAAACTAATGCGAACTTAAAATAATGCTATAATTTTATGGATGCTATGAGCTCTCGTAAATAAAAGGTAAAATTCCAGCTCTTTTTACGGCGTTGTGTTAGCAAAACACAAGTTGATCAAAATATACTAAACCAAATGCTTTTCTCCTGTTTAAACGATATCTCTCAGAAAGATGAATTTTGCAAGAAAAGGAAGCACTTGAGTAATAAAGGTTCAGTTTGGGATTGGTAAATCATTGAGGTCCTAAGCATTCATTAACCATCATGTATTGTTTAAAATATTCCTCTGCATATAAAAATTTTATTTCCCTTTCGTATTTTTGCCTTTTGCCGGCACTAGGATGGAAAGTTGTCAGCTTTTTACCATTTTTGTCTGATTTGCCGAAATTTTAGACTCCCTACGTTCCTTTTCTTGGCTAAAAAATTAATGCGAGCTGCACAGCTGCCTGAATGCACAGCTTTCTTCTTAAAAGTCACATGACAGTTTTCTTTATTTCATTGGCATTGTAAATCACTTGGAAAAGTGCCGAAGATTGTAGCTACCCCTCCATACATAAATTGACAGCGCTACAATAATTGGGCTAGCTCGAGCCGAGAAAAGGCATGGTAACTCCCCAGTCATGATTAACAGGATGGGTTAGTAAAACCAAATTTATTATACTTGAATTCTTGTGCATAAAGACTGAGGCATTTACAGCTGAATTGTGTGCTATGATCTGTACTTTTCACCAGGGCTCAGTACGATCAAAATCAGTCACCTTAGGGGCCTTGAGAGGAAGTAAAAATAGGCTTTTAATTGGTTAAACTTGCTATGAATTATAGCTTAGAAATTACCTAGGGCTATGCAGTGAATGCACTGATTTGACTAACAAGTTTTGGTTTAAGACATTGGGGATATAGGTACTCACTAGCACCATCGTCCCCGGGGTCACCGCGATTCAAAGTTGTTTAACCTAAAAGGAGTAAATCTGTTTTTCTGAATTTAAGCTAATGTTCTACACTTGAACGAATAGTTTACAGAAGGATTAAATGCAACTATTTATCATAAGCTGACAAGGAGCTCTTGTCACATAAGTGTGACACTGGTAGCGAGGGTATTAAAGAAACCCTGTAATATAAAGTTTCGTTGCATAACTTTCGCATTTCGAAATCATTGAATAAGTAGTATTGAAACGCAGTACGCCAAACCTGTTTTCCTTTACATTTTGATGAAAATAACAGAGATGAGTAGTAACACCCCGATGGCAAAGTTGAAACCCACTACCCTAGCCATCTTTGACTAATATTTTTGAGTAAAATCTCTATATCTTAACTAAGTATTGATAACAAGGCTTTAGTAAACTTGAGATGATAAACTCGTTGAATACCACTATCTTTAAGTGATGTATTTCCTCTTATTCTAACTTCAAGCTGAACACAGCACAATTAGAATTGCATTGCCAGAAGAGGAATGGTTCAGTCCGAAAAATATCACCCAGACAGTGCAATAATTTCCCCATTTGCGGATGACAAGAATTCAGGGCACTTTTTAAAACACGCGTTTCGTGTAATAAAAAACATTATTAAGTAGAAGGCTTTTTTACACCCTGAAAGTGTTTACAGATTAATTTACTTCCTTGCCTCTGTACACAATCGCATCGGATGTCAGAATAACACATATGCATATTTCACACCAGGAAAACATGATAGAACAGAGAGATGATATTTCCAAACAGACACAACTTTGTATATTTGTAGCTGCAAACGGCTAATCAATTTCTTCCATCCAAACTATTTCCGTTGCTTGAAATCCTCTTACATGTCTTTGTATGGAATTATTGCCTTGCCAGCTTTGCCCACCTGTCCTTCAGTTTTGAAGCAAACCCTGACATTTTAGGTTGCAAAGGGACTAAAATTTACTGTGGTGAGCTTCGTTAAATTAGTATTTGGAAAGTACTTAGTTGACATATAGAATAGGAACTTTGGTTGTTTACGGCTTTATCACTGAAGCAGTAACTTAGGACAATAATAAACCCATAAGAGCGCCATTTAGAACACTTCATCTAAGTGGTGTCCAAAGTGGGTCTTGTGCTTATCTAGCTGAGAAGTCAAATCAAACTTTTTGTGGGCAAAACTGCTTTAATATTTGCTGTTAGTTAACGAGTTTTATGTTACTTATGAGAGTCATAGCAAGTTGATCACACAAGTGGTTAGGAGAAATTGACCACTGCAACCCAGCTATTATATTTCTAAAGTCATATCACTCAAAATCTAAACAAAGACAAGGAAATTGGTGTCATTTTCAGTAATTTGGAGGAAACTATCAATTTTAAGTTAACAACTATTCTATCAAAGAGCTTGATTTCTGGTACGAGAGAAACGCTTTCTTCCAAAAGCCTTAACACTAGTGCAATGACTTTTGAGCAGAAAAAGAGGCTGTACTTTTGCTTCTACTAGCAGAATACAGGCGTTCCAAAACTTTAGTGGGTAAAAATACTAACAGAAATTTGTTCCATGGGAATTGAATAAGCATTGATATTAAAGGGTAAACAACAGCACTTTGAGTTCAAACATGGCCACTTAAAAGGGAACGTTTGAAATTAGTAGCTTAGGGTTGGAAATGAAATAAATAAAATCATAAAAGTCGTTAAAAAACTGTGCAATTCATAAAGAAGAGGTGTGGTAGAAGGTTGTCTTTTAAAAGATCATTTAGGCATTCAAAATTTGGCCCCAATCTCATGATTTGAAATAAAGACTTGAAGTTACTTGGTAGATGATCTGGCAATGTCACACTTTCAAGGTAATTTACCTCAGTTACCATGATAAAACATGGTGGATTGCCTAAAGTCAAACATGAACAACCGCAAAAAATAAATTAATCGTTATTTTAATGAAAAATATTATTACGTGCTAGATGTGGTGCATCATTTGGTAAACTTCTGTTTCATGTTATAGCCATTTAAGCACTGCATATCCAAGGCCACTTTTATTTGGCCTTATTCAAAGTCTTCTGCGTAGGGAATCGCACTAATTTTTGCAAAAGTTTCTTACTTCCCTGAAGACAAAAGAGGATATATTACTTAGGCCGGATATGTATTACCGGCGTACGGTAGGGCTGGGGGACTACCGGGTTGGCCCAAAGGCCATTCTGCTTAGCGGAAGTACCATGGTGGCACCTTCAGTATCCGCAAAACTAAAACGAAGAACTAAACGAATAATCGGCCATTTTCAATTATTATTGTGTATATAATATCACGCTGTCTGTTTCTTCCTTCAGTTGTGATAGTGCAATGCAATATCTAGAAGGAACTGTTAAAAGGGGACAAATTTACATCAGTAGCAATGTTTAATGAAAATTGCTTTATCAGAATAACTATTTTAATGTTAATTGAGTACTACCTCCTTACCTTTGCTGTCAATTTAGTTTACATTATTTCCTGGTGCATATAATTCTTACAAAATCTACTTATGGGTAGTGCCATCACTAATGTAAAAATTATAATGAGAGCTTGGATACGTGATTACCAAAGATAAAGCGTAGCGAGGAAAAGGTAAATGAATGTTACGAATAAAGCTTGATTTTCATTGTTTAATTTGATTTTAACATGTAATTTTTTGATTAATGATTAAGTTTCATTTCGTGCTCCCAAATTCAAAAAAAATCTCTATTAAGAAAGAATTCATGGATGTTGATTAGGCATCGTAGATGTTTTGTGGAAGTACATAAATGCTAATCGAAAGAAGTAGTTTAGTGATTATATTTGCAAAATGATGATTTAAAAGGCTGCTGAAAGGGTAGGAGGAAATGCATGCGAATCAAATTACACTGCTTTTGTAATAGAGAGGTCACTACTTATGATTCCGCCTCATCTCGTGAATGATAAGCCATCACCTAATCAGAATGCTTAAGTAACCGTTATTTCGCTTGCCGGTTCACAGGGCCTACGCAGTCACTTGTTGGGAGGTAATGTCCCTTGGAGCAGACCCCTTCTACGGTCAGGTAAATCTGGAGGTGATCAACCTGGTGCTGAATGGCAATGTGTTGTCAAAACCGGACAACTGTCCAGCTACCCTGTGAGTTGTCTCTTTTCAGAATAAAAATGTCGCTTTACTTTGCCAGGTTCTCCTATGAATGGACAGCAAATGATGCAAAGGTACTAAATTTTCTGCCTTTAAGCAGTAAAATAGTTATTGTTAACTTTAAGCACTACTGCGAATTCCGCACATTTTAAGTGGCTAAGCAATCGCTAAAGGTTGAACAGTAGTAGCATATTGTTGCTTAAACATTATTATAGAACAAGAAACACAGTTTAAGTCAAGCCTCTGTTTTTAAAGACGGTATTACCGCTGATTTCTTAAAATAACATCGTTGACATCATGCCTTCATGCTATCAGGGATTTCGTATGAATAGAATGATTTGACCGATCACGCAAAAAACCCGTTTTCGACTCATCATATCTCTATTCTCTTCCTTTCATCTCTCATTTTATGTTAGTAATAAGACAAAAGAGGAGGCGTACTCAAAGAACAATAGCAGCTTATTATTTTGGTGTATCAGGAGGGGGCGTTATTTAAACAACCAGAAGAATATTTTGCAAAACCTGTTTGTAACTTTCTTGCTGATAGTACGGAGAAAGTATATAGGAATATTTATTTTGATTCATCTAGAATCACTGAAGGATTTCCATAAATAGTAAAATATCTGGTTAGGGAATCTAAGAGGGTGCGTTAAAATTAAAGCCCAGCAAAAATTATGTCTAAAGGAGGATGCATAAAATATTTAATTTGACATCAAGCTGATAAAAAGGATTTAATAATTACAAAGTCAGTAGCACTTCTTACAAATTTCAGATTTACTATTCTAGTCAGACAATAAAATGAGGGTAATTCGGTGAATAATAAAATAAATGTGCCTTTTTTAAATTAGCAGCTAGCTTTATCTAAACTTAAAGCATGCTTTAAAATTACGCATTTTACCCTAATTTTTACTGATGCTATGCGCTCTCTCCAATTTGCGAAATACTGTTTTCCGAAATTTACTTCTTTTAAACCATTTAGAACAAATCTTATGCAAAAATTATTCACAAACGATCAATCTTCCTTAAGTTTTAAAAAACTGTCTAAAATTTGCTTCTCAAATTCTACTATGGAGTCAAAGTATCCATGGATGTATCCTAGACTAGCACATCTATTACTCATCGACAGACTTGTCCTCTTCTTAATGGATGATCCTAAAAGCTTTAAATAACTAGCTCTAAGGCCATTTTATTACGCGCATGTTTCTCCTCCAGGTACGACCACATGCTACAGTGCTGGAGTCGGTTTCCAGAAATTCGACCCACTTTTTCAGACGTCTGTCGAAAGATGGAGGAATTTGTGGAGGCCTCGAACAACGCGGAGAGCCCCTTCTCTGGACCCTACATCTATCGTGTTCCCATTGGTGGATCAACTATTCGTAAGCACATCAAGAATACGGGAGCTATGAATTTGTCTTTCGGCTTCTTTTTGGGTGTAAATGAGTTTATTAATTAATAAATTATAAAAGTGTGGGTTTCAGACCTCAATTTAAAAAAAATAACTAGTAATTACAAATCTTGTCAACGACGTTACATGTCCTGGCAGGTGTCCCTTGTTCTCTTGGTAAATGTCCTTTTTTGAAAACTGAAGTTGCAATTTTCAAAACGGATTGTAAGGACTGGCGTTAATCGAGCGTATGGACACCAATTTATGTGGCCCTAAATGTTCCTACCAAAAAAATAGCTTTTCATAAGACGAGAGTAGTTGCCGACGGCATTAGCTGTAAAGTTATTAAGACACAACAATATAGAGTACCATTTATGAATTACTGCCTCAGTGTGGAAGCCTTGAATTGTCCTTGTTAAAAGTAACACGGTCAGACGCGTTTAAGCTAGAAGTAGTTTGTTATCGTCTACTATAACTGTAATGCTTCAACCTGAGAAACATTCTCCACTTTGATCCCGTTGCAGAACTTCCTACACAAAATCGGTTTAATAGGTCTTAGTTACCATTCCAGATGCCCATTTAAACAAAAGCTCGTAGTTGTGGCAATCCGACAATTTGTATTTATGAATCAAAAACCTGCACCAAATAAAATGTTTTTGCAGATTTTTTTCTGATATCAATGTTGTTTTCAAGTTTTCATTTAAGTCATTTCTTACTCGGCTGTCTGATATTCATTTTCTCCATTTATTCTCCTTTATTTCCCATTTTTCATCTAATTTATGTTTTTGCAAAAATTTGAACGAAAATCACACTTTATTTCAAAGAAAGTGCTTCGCGGAACGCTGTGAGGCTATAGCACACTGGAGGACTACTCAAACCGCATAATTGGTGGTGATATTTAAGTGGGAAAAGCCATAACCATTCAGTACTAAAAGGTAGAAGGGTCCTCCTCAAAGACATGAAAAGCTATGTCGGTGTTAAAAAAGAATTATCGCCAAGGTACAGAAGAGTTGAGCCATAACACCTTCTAGTAGATCATGGTGCCAGGCGGAATTTTAAGCCGCAGAAGCTAAAGAGGCCGTATAAGCGCAATATAAAACCAAAGCCAAATTACGTTACATTAAGTAATCTTGAAAGTGGACTATTTTTATCGAGGATTTCCAGACCACGTAAATGGTTATCAGCTATGCCCGGGGTTTTATTAACCCGATTTGTAAATACAACCTTCTCCTTATAACAATTTTGCTCATTCATGAATTCCTTATCCCTCCACCGTTAATGATAAATGCTGGAAAACCTCACTGATAAACCTCTGTTAGTTGAGGGCAGAAGAGCTTGATTCTGTACGCCATTTTACATACCAAATACAAAAGAGCGGTGCCTGCAAATTCTGCTTTATCCAAAAACTCAACCATATACAATTGCATAGCTATTTTCTAGGTATTATGAACCAAGTTACCAAAACGGGATTTTTCATTCGAACGGCTTTATAATAAGATTCCCATATTAAAAAGCCTTTGTGAAATTTACAAATTCGCCTCTTCAAACACTTTGCCCATAGCCTCGGAATCCACACCCACAGTCGGTGAGCCTGAGTGGCGACGTGGAAACGACGGTGATGGTTCCGCGCTACACATCAACGACTCCAGAGTGAATCTTATCCACTCTAACTCCCTCAGCATGGCAAGGTGCGACGGTGGCAGTAGCAGTGGCAGTGGTGTCACGTCACGTTTAACGAGGAGTCTTCAACGCCAGGTCTCCTGTTCGCGCCCTGCTGTAGATCCTGGAGCTCCACTAAGCCCCGGCTTCTTCTTCACTCAACACCATCAACAACAACAGCAACCACCACTGCCATCACCTCTATATGCACATGAAGCTAGTCCAACTGATAGTCTGGCTAGACGAGGGGCTCCAGGTTTGCGTAGACAGTTGAGCGATCGATATCAGTATAACCGAGATCCGGAGGAAGTCGATTCTATGGGGTGGGTTCGTGGAGGACAGAGCTTAATTGTACCTGTCGATAATTTCCTCTAGTTTCTATTTGAGTACTATCATAAAATGGAATTGTTTTTTTAATAGCAATCCTTTTTAAAGTATATAACTTTTTAAAAGAACTTTAATTTAGTTAAAAACCCCTAACACCTGTGGTGGCATTCGAATTCACAGCTAAATTTAAGTGGATAAACTACAGTTACTTTTTTCCGTAGTTCCTTTCTGCGCTCACGACATGTCTCAGCGTTTAGTGCATATCCGAGAAGTTTTGACATACGGTTCTGACAAGATGAGTGAAATATCCTAGCAAGGTTTATTATGTCGATTGAAGCTCGAAAACTGTTTTGGCACTTTTCCAAACTCTAAATGTTGTATTGTGCTCTCACATCCAAGAAAAAGGTTGGTCGCTTTTGGAATTTTCGCGAAAACTTGTGAGTTGATTAGGTATGCCATAAGTTGAGGGCTCACAGGAATGTCAACTGTGATGTGGGCTGGGGACCAGCTAGGTAGGAGCACCCTGTCACCGTTACATGCGGTGCCTGAAGCCTTTTACAAGCACCACTGTCCACGGGTTTGCGCTTCACTAATTTTTCACAAGAAACTTTAAAAATCATCACACTGTTCCACACGCGCTCCATGGCTACTATTTGACATCCAGATTACTGATGTCCGAGACGAACTGGCCGTTAAATAGACACAGGCTACGAATGTACTCCCTACTTACAGTCGTAATTTTAAACGCTCCGATTTCTAATGAAAGACCATAGCAAAGCTTTCACAAGAAGTAAAAATACACATTTCATAGTCGCTTTACGTTGGGATTACGCAATTTATTGTATACCTATTTCCATGATCTTATTTCAAACTGAAGGCGGATAAAACTGCGCCGTTTTAAAGAATAAAGAATTAAAATAGTTATATAGCATCACTAGTTGGACGCACTTTCTAAGGCCCTTTCAAATTTTCCACAAACTGCCTTTCTTATATCTCGTTAATAATTGCTGTTTTTTATTGTTTTCTGCCAACAGCCCACATAGGCACCTGTAAAAGGCTATTGGGTGAAGAGGTACATTTCCACTATAGTAGCGATTAGACTTATCTTTTCTGGGTGGTTAGTTTATCAGGCAAAATGCATAGTCATTTCAGAATGCCTTTAGTCTGGTGCATTCTTTGTACAGACTCCGCACATCTATCACTGTCAAGGTGGAATACTGTATAAAAATGAACAGACAACAGGATTTTCTGTGCCTTCTTACCAAAGTAGTGTGTCACTTGGACAAGTATATCGACATCGAACCTGGTTTCCAAGTAATATATTAATGGCTTCTGAGACGGGCTTGCTGTTGCTGTCACATCTCGCACATGTCCATTTAAGTAGGATTTTTACTTTTCGCTTACTTTTACACTTGGCAAATATGTGGCCTTATGATTTATCCACTTGTGAAGTAAACAAGATCGCACTTATGTTGGTTTATTTTGCCGCATTGGTAAGCCCACTCCTTTTTGACAGGATAGTTCCTGCCAAAATTTGTTTTTGTAGAAGTAGTTTATGGTAATGGCAGGGCAGATTGGGGAACTACCTGTGCTTAATTACCCATCTCGTAAAAGTGGGATTAGGAGCCTTTTTTATGTGTAATATACCCCGTCTTTAAGTCGACCACCAAAAGTACCTTGTGTTAAATTAGTGAATCTCCACTTTGTTCTTTTTAAAGCGTTGTTGGCCTTTATTTGCAGATTGTGTGGGTGGATTCGTGCTTGGCACTGCCTACTCTTGTTCATGGGTAATTTTTTTCCCGTTCCTGATTAATTATTATTCACGGTAAAGGAATAACTTTCAACTTAATATACAGATAAACTCATTAATTTAAGTAAGGTTTAAATAAATAAAGGAGTACCGTTTTGTGGTTACTTGACTTCCTCGAATGAGTGAACGTTTATTTTTCTCTAGCAGTTTAATGCCTATAATTTTTAAACTAAAACTTTTATGGTGCCTCCACTATTTAGTAATGTAATTCGCAATTCCGTTAAGTTTAAACTCTAGAAGTGAAGTTATTGTCAATGTGTCTTCACTTCAATCCAGTAAGCATCAAGTTTTTTCTTTCTTTTGAAGCATCTCTCCGTGATTCATTTATTTCACGCATTCGCTACTAAGGTAGCGGAAATTTAGCGGTTTATAATATTTGCTAATGATTATCTACCGTAGCTTGCAACGTAAAAGCGAATTTATGTTCACTTTTAAAGTCCTTTATCGCAACGAGAGAGCAATCAAGTCATGTTTAGGAGCAACACACAGCTGGCAAAATCGGGATTTTTGGTGTTCTGTAGTGAATTTTTCACCATGGTAGAATCCAAGCTATCCCTGAAAAAGTTTTAGAAACAGAGAGTCTAAAAGTAACTTTGTTATAATACAAAAGAGTTTGAGGACTGGTGGCATGGATGACAAGGGCAAGGATCCACCTTGAAGTAGTAAGACCAATGAAATAATTTACACAAATAATTTTTATTTTGGTCAAATTAAACGTACCTAATTATGTTCGTTAAAACGTATGCCGACTAAGCGTAAGCGAATGAGCGCCTTCAAAGAGGTTGAGAATTTCCCAAGGATCAACGGTTAGTTATAAAATAAATTCCAACAAAGCGGTTGGGGATCGAGTGCCGTGGAAAGTCACTAAATGCCTGGTAGTTGACTTGACTACTGCCCACCCAGCTGAGATTTAAATGCTTCATATTTTGCTTCATTTATGACATTATACAAGAAAGAAGAAATATGAGGCAAAATAACCTAGAATTATTCAGATTTTGATTTGCGGTTATGCCAATCTCCAACCTTTTTTTTCGTTCAGCTACGAACGACCAGCACTAATGATGACGGGACCTTATTTCAACACCCTCCAACAGGGCTATCGGCGAGCCTCCAGCCCCGCTCGCCAATATGCTCCACGTTCTCCACCTCACTACGCCATTCCTGCACGACCCCCTTTGACACGCGACACCAACTACGGCATCATGCATCACTCGCTCTATGTCGGCAGTCGCGGCAATCAGGCGACTAATCAGGGACAGACAAACAACCCGATGTTTCAATCAGCTCAGTTTCACTCGCACACACAGATGGAGTCACCAAGAGGTAAAGTGGCCACGTAACAAATAAGCTACAAAGCTTCCTATCAGTTAGAAAATAGTAAGTACACTGAGCTCTTAAAGTTAAGTTTCAAGCGTTTCGCAGCGTCAGAAATTCCATTCTAGTCGAACTTATGGTTTCATTGGCTCCCCCTTATCTTTGACTTCAATCAAATTTATTTGTTTTCTTTTTAGAATTTTAAAGTGTTCAGTGGCTGCATGAATCGTGGTACATTGATATTTTTACAATACCGCGAATTCCATGTATGTTTTGTACCATCGTCATCACCACTGTGTTTTATCGTCCATATATATGACAAAATTCGGCCTCTGACTTCCGCTTATGTAGTCTGTTTGCGATCCTGTTTTAAATGAATATATATATATAAACATATTTAAGATAGACCTCTATCTCGTTTTTATTGTTTGCTGTGTTAGATACTTCAGTGACCAATAGATGAATAGTACGGAAATTGCGGAGTCGTTTTCTTAAGATTTGCGAATAGGGCTAGACAAAGGGGAAATGAATGGTTGGGAAAGTAGCGACTTGAACAAAAGATAGCCGGGCATCTAAATGGATAAAGAGGGGTGGAGAAATAAGTGCCTACGCAGTCAAACGCCCATTTTAACAAACTACCAAAGCCTTACAATGATAATGGACTAAAGTTAAGCTTTTTAAGATATCGTGAGATTAGAAGGGTTAAAGCAGCATTTTGGTCTTGGCATCTGCAGCGGGTTAACCGGCCGCCTTTATACACAAAACTACGTTAAACGGAAAAAAGCGCTTTGCTTTTAAGAAATCTCGAATGTTCGGGTTTTAAGTGTATCTAGGATTGTCGCACCTTGTATAAATGTCGACTTTCCCAATTTTTCAATTACTGTACCTCATATTGCATTTTGCAGCGTTAATACACCCGGCGCAGTATTACGTTTCGTGACTCGCTTGTTGCATATCCACAGATGAAAGAACAATCCAAAATTTTGTAGAGCTAGAACTGGATTACAGGCATGCCATATTTTCCTTAAAGTGCTCCCTCTGCAAACTGTGAATAGAAACTCTGACATATTTACGACGTCAACGACTCTCCACTATTTCACTAAACATAAGTTCAGAGAAACCTACTAAAATAAAACTGCCAGTTTGGCAGTCATTAAGCCGAAGTTTGACAAAATCGCATTTGTTTACCTTTAAGGTTTACTTGCATATTTCAACCGTACTTGTTTCAGACCGCAGTTGTGCAGTGAGCAGTCAAAAAAAGTCAACGAGGTATTCAATAACAACCTAAATTTATTTTCCAACAGCATTCTATGCATTGTGTGAGCTGTGACTGGCTACAAACAAATTGTTCTTGTTATATCACAGCACTTCGTTGGCAACTTTAATTAGATTATTTTCCAGGTAAAATCGAAAATGTGTATTCAAAAGAACCTCGGAAGGTGCTTTTGGGCTTCCTAATATAAACTTACATATTGCATTAATATTTGTTATTCGGGATATTAACAAAAATTTGGGGTTAACTTATGTGACGAATTTTTTTATTTCCTACTTAAAGATTGATGATGCTTCCGACCTTGGGTGCAGTGTCGCCACTTTGTGTGCTGCCGCACTAGTGGGTCGTCTGGCCTTCTTATTTGGGCCCCGCTGTAAATGATGCGTTTATTGTTTTAAGATTGTATCCGATTCTACTCACTTAGTGAACACTGAGTCTTCTGCATTTGCAACCTGACTGCAATTTTACTACACGCTTGTAGTTCGATCAGTTTTTTTCGTTTGCACTCTAAGTAACTTGAATTTAAAAGTTTCTTATCTTAGTTTGCCTATGCTGCGGGTCGCTTCGCTCACTTTCTCTTCATTAACTTGTTCTGTTATTTTTCGTGCCGTCCGTTGCCAGTCATCAAGGACTGTTGTATCGTCCGAATCAACTAAGCTACCAGTAGAATTTCAAGATGATTTTGTCAAGAAACTCGTCAGCGAAGAACTAATTACCATCCCCGACTTCATTACTGAAGAGGAGGAGCAAAGTCTGCTCTCCGAACTTGATCCGATTCTTTCGCGATCTCGCTACCAAACCTCACACTGGGATAACGTAAATTCTAGTTTTTTTCAATTTCCGCCCTCCACAGGCCATAGAAGACTTTCGTGAGACAGAGCGGAAGAACTGGCGGGCTCCGAATCGCCTGATCATCGATCGGTTACGGCAAAAGACACTGGATGTTCTAAAGGAGGAGCCGCGTCCTGAAGGCGCTCATAAGGCATCCAGCTTCGACGATCTCCTTCCTTACATCCATGTTCTCGATCTGGCTCCAACAGGGTGGATCAAACCGCATGTTGATAGTATTCGAGTATGTAAAAATCATTGCTGAAGTAAGGAAATATCATCACTTTGGGAATTTGTAACTTCCTAATCATGATCTCAATCTTTTACTGATACATTTTTAACTAACTTTTGATTGCATTTCATAATTTTGATTTCATTGTGTTTTAACAAGGTTTCATACTGCCCCAGTTTTTATGCTATTCTGTACTAGCTTCGAGCACCAGGCATTTTATTCATCGCTGCAAAATATCACTTGCATGGAGGTATCATGACCCTTTTTTATGAAGAGCAAATGTCATTTTCACGTTGCAAGCATCGGTTGATTTGCATATTGGCTATTCTTTTTCCTCGAATAGCATTGATAGATTGTAGGGCAGCTATTTCAAACCTGCGAAACCGGTATTTCAGCAGGTCCATTAGAAATATCAGCACAACTATTCCTCATTAAGTGTTCTGCACCATGGTTATTCACTGATGCAAATTGCGACCCAGCTTGTAAATACAACCAGTTCACTGTGTATTTTTAATTTAAAACACCTGTTGGTTTTATAATCTATTTGTTCTGAAAAACCTATGATTAATAACGGTATTTTGACTTTGAAACTACGTAGTTCTCACTGAATACATTAGCAAGACATATGGTAGCAAAAGATGGGTTTTTTATCGGTTCTCTGTTCTTTGCAAGTGATCCTTTAGTGTTAGTTTGTTCCATTGCTAGCATCCACTGTGATTTCATTTCTTTTGCCATGCCTTAGTGGAAAAATCACAATAACATCACAAGTAGTGCGTGCATGGGTCTTTTTAGAATTTTTCAACTTGAGTATAAGTATTTCAAATTCTTTTTTATGTGTACATGGCGTCAGACTAAAATTATGTTTAATCAATTTAGTATTTTACTAAACCATGGTCTCCTGGAAACGTACATCAGTGGCATGAAGTGCTGCTACGTTATTAACACCCTAAGGTGAACAGCCTTCTCCAGGCCTGACTTGATGCTATAAAGCTACTTTCCATCTGAGAGATTTTGCAGTAGGTGACGGCCTACTTAGCTGTATTTTACCATCCCAACAGGCTTTTTAAAGTTAATTCTTCAGTATCTCGATACAGCACTAAATAAAGGGACTTCAAAGTGCTGAGCTATTTCACTTTCGACTTCCATGATAACATTCTATCTTGCTGACGTGAAGGTGTCCCGAATAGAGCTTTTGAATCGAGAGAGATATGGTAGTAAGGGACGTCCTGCTTAAATCACATTTCAACACACTGATAACATTCCCTGTGTTCGTATTATATGAATACAAAAACTGCCTACAACCCGTTTACCCCGGCGTCAGTACAGATGAAACATTATTTCAGAGCTTCATCACTAGATTCTTGAATTACACCCCATTTTCATGCAATGGTATCAAGGTGTAGTCAAAACCTAATGGCGTTTTATGGTTACAGTCTGCTTGAATTGTATTTTAACTAAATGGCGCATTCGCATAGCAGGAGCCAAAACCTATCCCATTTAAATTCAATTTTCATTCGTTCTAACAAGTTAACATTACAATCCGTGGTATCATAAATGACCATCAGCATAACTCGCATCTAAATATTGTGTGAATGTTCTCTATTTGAAACAAACGGCCTATTTAAGTAGGCATTTCACCCTATTTTGGCATAACTAGGAAAAACCTATCATGATAAATCAATGTTTTAGTACTGTGGTGGGGTGGTGGCCGTGCTCTCCCTCCTCGCGGACAGCATAGCGCGCTTCACTGTGGCTCCAGAGAGTGAGGTAGCTCCGTCCACTAGCCTCCTGCCCGCCAGCCGAATGGATCTCGCATTGCCCCCGCCAGGCGCCTCCACGGATGTGTGGGTGCGCCGACGCATGCTCTATATCATGCGAGGGGCAACGCGTTACCGCCTTACTCACGCCATCCTCCCCAATGACAGCCAGATTCCTGGTACCGATCGAGTCGTTCACCGGGATCGGCGCATCACAGTCATGTGTCGACCTCGACCCGAGCGTGTGCCGCTATCACAGCCTGGAGGAGGCTCTTACTCTTACGGCCAATTGTCATAGTCCGATTGTGTAATTTTATAGTAAAAAATATCGCATTTAGTTTCGGTGATGCATCCCTAAGGCATTCCTAATATCGTCGATTGCGGTCGATCTTTTGACTGCCTGACGTTGCGTTATGAGCGTCTCATGTTTCTTTTCTTTGAAAATGAACTGAGGACTCAGGACGCGAGGATTCGAGTTGGGACCAAAGTCGTAGGGTAAAAAAGTGGGTAATTCCATTCCGAGTTGGTATGAAGACCTTGTATGGTTGTTGTTCGAGGAAGATAGGACAGTGGAATATCGGTTGGAATGTTGCACTTTCTGGGCGGGTTCCATGCAAATTTAACGAGGGTCGAGGAGTGATTTTTCCCATCTGAGCTTATTTTCTCTTGCTATGGCCTGTCAGGATTCTCGGTTATTATTGTTTGACGAAATTCCTATTCATTGTTCACGCGCATATCTGCTTTCTTGGTTTGACTTCACAATTCTGCGGTGAGTTTATTCTCTCATGTATTTCAAGAATAGGCCACTAAACATTAAATTCGGTTCTCTGTCATTTGGCATGGTTCTTACGCATTTATACAAAGCCAACTTAAACCTGTGGGGATATTGATGTCTTATTTACTGGGTAGAGGAAATTGTCCGCAGTTTTGTGCATAATCTAATGAGGTGTTGTTCAACTAATGGTTTTATTTTTGTTAATGGTGTCAAACTTGTTTGTACTTCCAAGGAGCCTTGATAATTTTAATGTTCCTTCTACTCTGTTATCTGCCCTTATGATCTTATGGTAAAGGTGATACAATACCGTTGAAAATTCATGGGTGAATCAAGTAAAGTGAAGCTAACCGAAGGCGAGGTCTATCACTTAGCCTGAATGACATCAGTTAGGAAGTCTCCACTCACCTGGCAGTGATTGAGAGTTAATTCGTGCGAACAAATTTATTGCAGGGTGTTAGAGGCCCCCAAGCAAATTTTTGGTGTTATTCAAATGACTTTTATCACAAAGCAAATACTGGTATGGTTGTTCTTTCTTTCACTTTGTCCGATTAAGTGCCGAGGATTTCGTTTTTCAGGCCGAAACAATTATTAATACAGCGGAGCACTTCTTGCGTGGGTTATGATTTATTCGTAAAAATATTATATACGAAAAGACAAATAGCAGATTACAAATAAAAAGGAATGGATATTTTCACCAATTAGCCATTAGTAAGAAGGCGTGAAATTCGTGCTTTGGGGCGCTTTGGAAGTGTGTCCGCACTTTCGCTTTCATACTTGGCTGTGGTGCTGCATGCTTCGGGCCAGACGAGAGATGGACATTTAATCATTTAAGATGCTGTGCCTTCCTCTCCAGCTTGGGGTCGACCCTCTGATTCTTTGTTTTTCAATTTGCTTGACGCGAAGAAGCGTCCTCGCATCAATTTCAAAGGACATGCCATGTCTTCCAGTGTGAGCGCCAGTATGATCTCTAAAGAAAAGGAGGCTTGAGTTATTAAATTAGGCGTTACTAGGGGTAGTGAGGTGTAGTGCTCCAATTTCGTACTTCGGAAACTAATGCGAAGTCACGGATGGCCTGCCTAACGCGTAATCTCCCATTTTCATGCATAAAATTCAGCTTGGAGATGTTCTGTTTGTCTTTGCTGGTAGGAACAGGTGGTGAAATTTTATGATTAATGTACTTCGGCTAGGGCTGTTATGTGAAGAATGAAACAGATGGTATTTTAAATAACTTTTTCCGAAAAGTGCTTTTTCATATGACATTAACGTCAGTAAGGGTTGCTGCCAGGTTCGGAGTTTACCACTACTACTTATGAAGGAGAGTTTTTTTCAAGATTTCACTATTCTCATTTTTTTTCACAAGCGGTTCGTTGTATGCATTTCTACACTAAGGGGGTAGTGAATTAACTTCCGGATTGTTACCACTGGCTATCCTCAAAGGAGGTTCGTTTTAAAATGAATTCACAATCATTCCTACCGAATGAACACCTGCTTTGTGTCTGGAGCGGCAAGCTTGCTATTATCAAGAAAAAGCCCTTGTAATACCAAAGATGGCAGCACTGAAATTTTCTTCCAAAAAATGATTCGGGTGCTTTTTGTGACAAAATTCTGTTTTGTGGCGTGGAGCAGCTCAGAAATTGCACGAAGGCACGAAGAGGCCAGAATAGAAAACTGAATCGTGAAAAGGTTAGGAATCATATAGTCAACCGGTTTGCCTTTCGGTAGCGCATTTTCACGAATGTGGATTTGGGGCAACCTTTAGCAGCAGCCACAAAGTGGGACTGAAAAAAACCAAGCATTAAATTTACTGCTAAAGCAAATAAAGACTTAGTACCTTAAGTTGTCATCATTGTGGCTCTACTGCATAAATAAATTGCACATTTTTCATTCGTCAGTTAGCCAAAATACTTTAACGGTTGTATACGGTGCGCTCTTTAGTGCTCCTCATCCCCACCTCATCTCAAATCGTTGGTCAAATCTGGTGGATAAGTTTTAATTTTGTTTGCTTTAGGAACCGAGTTTACTTCAACTCCGGACCCGTGGTTGCAACGGTCTCTTGTGCACCGTTTAAAGAAAGCGCAGTCTCAGAACGTGGAGTTTGGAAATGGTTTAAAAATAGGTTTCTTGCGATAACTCATTTTAAGTTTGGTGGTTTAATTTCAGGCAAAGTTGCCTGTCGCTACTGAAATGGTCATTTGAAACTAACGAGCAACAATCTCCCGGAGCATTCCAAGTGGTCAGTGAAATAGTTTGCTTACGCCTACGTCAATTGAAAAGGGGAGATCATAGAAGCCGAGCAATAAGTACGATTGATGTCTACCTAGTTGACAACCTGAGGGTAGGTAAACCTTTTTTTTCAGAAGCACCGGGCACTAGTCAGTTGGAGGAACTAATCTTACTTTGGGATAGAACAATAGAGATACTGTTTCATTTAGTTCCTCCTTCCGAGGTTTCTTTAAGCTCCGAGTGCCTTCGAAATGTTCTTCTATCAAAAAACACATCTGAAAACATCACGGAACAAAATCACAGTCCGGATATCTGAGAACCGGAAGTGAAATGGGATTAAATGTAGCTGTAACCAGGCTTTCTCAATCCTGGCAGCAGAATATTTTAGAGTAATTGAACTGGATGAATTGAAGCTCATACGAAAAAAAGCTGTGCATCATAACAGTGAATAAATTTACAAAATATAAATTTTTTAAAATTTTTATGGTTCTTCAACTTTGATAATGGGAAAACAGAGGCATTTGTCTGGTTATCATATGCATTTCAAAGGATCACAGTTTCGGAAGCATAGGACTGTGACGAAGCTTTTTAAAATCTTTTGAGGATCTTGCAAAACGGAAGGCTTATATGGGCGTGTCGCCTAATAAAGAAGCTGCATATTATTATTAATGGGAAATGTAACAGAACAAAAGGGACTCCAACAGAGAGGATGTAAATCACCTTGATTAGTAGGAACAAAGAACCTTTACCGTCGTTTCCATTTTAACACCGCTGGGAAACAGTAATGAAGAAAAAAGAATTGCTAATGGAAACTTTCTGGAAAATTCAGTACATATTTGGCACTCAAGGCGACTGTAGTCATTATTGTTAACAAGAGACTGATTTCAATTTATTTTCGTCACCAATATTACGCCTATTTTGAGAAATGAATCACTTTTTACACGGTACTGAAATGGCGGCGACGTTGTTGACTATCTGATGGAGTGCTAATAATAAGAGGATGAAAATTTAGAGATTTTGAAAATATTGCAAATACCAAAATGTCATCAAACCATCATCAGGGTATTTGCATTTGGGTGAAGGAGGTGGAACTTTACTAGTTGAGTCTGAATTATTATTAAGATGAATAAATCCTAACGAAAGTTAATCATGCTCCAATTAAATATTGTAAATAGGATTTCCTTTGTAATAAAAATTGGCGAAGAACTGGTGACGTGGTACGAATTCTCAAAGAACAAGAATGATTTTTATGAAAACAAGCCCAGTGCCTCATCCTCAGTCTAAAGTCTTCCTTACTTGAAAGATTCCTAAATAATTTGAAACATTTTACATAAAATTTAGTCACCTTTGGCACTGTCATTAGTCTTATAAAGCTTTAAAAAAGTACATATTTGTTTGACAAGCAAAAAGAAATTCAAAACCATGTTTGATTTGGGAATAAATAAGAAACACTAATGACCTCTTATAGTACATTTAAATTTGGGTCGACCTTTCTAAAAGGATTGTTTTAGACTAGAAGTTTTTCTGTCTGCATCCTGCTAACCATTTTGATGGTTCATGTCTTCGCGTTGATTACCAGATAACTTACGGCTCCTTGGTATGGCCTCCACACCATGCCAATAGCCTCAGCTCTTCTGTACATCAGTAGTGCCTCCCCTGCCATGATCCTGTGACTACTTACGACTTCAGGAAATAGTCAAGGTGATGCATCTTCTTGTTTAAAAGACTCTGCAATATTTTAATGTTGACAACATATCTTCTCAGTTGGTTCGCCCACTTTATATTAAATTCCAGTTGACATAATTATACAAAAAGAAAATTATACTATTTTTTCTCACATGGGCGTGCAAAATCTTGAATGCTCCAGGAAGCATTCCTTTAATAAAAGTCAACAAATTAACAAGCCATGTGTATTTTTTGAAAAAAAGGAGAATGGGAGTCCGTTTTTAAATAAGCTCTTTAAATGAAATGATAGGTGATGCGACCACTAAGCCTTGAAACTGGCTGCGGATAAAAGAAATAGTTTCATGCTCAGCTTATCATTAGGGTTGCCCAAAATCAGGCCAATTTTGAGCTCGTTAACCATTAAGTAGAAATAAGTTTTGGGAAAAATTATGCTGTTATATTATAATTGATTTAGTGGTTCAGTGGTGGTCTTCAGAAATCACCTTTCATATTTTCCATTATTTAAAAAAGGATGTATGAAATTGTCACCTACCCCATGCATCGGTTGAAAATTAAACTGGTCCCTCCCTTGGATGTCAAATTTTTTGTTGAAAGTATTCTTGTATATCTAAGTCGCAAGTTTGCAAACTGTGGTACTATTTTCAATTCATAAATTTGTGTCAGAATTCAATCTGAGTAATGTCAACGGAAGCAAAAATTAACAATGTAAGGCTAAGTTACCGGGTGTCGGTGAACAAGATTCGCCAATTTCTTCAGCACATTTGTCATGTCTTACGTGGTTCCATCTAGGTTAAACGTCAATTTCTGAAACTCAGTCACGCGTGATGATGCGACCTAGACATTTACACGCCCAAAGCAATTTTGAAGATTTGTTTTGGTCGTGTGGTCATACTTTCTACCACAAATAATTTCTATTGTTACTTAAAGAAATTATGCCTAAATGCCGTGTGAAAACTGTACCTTGTTGCCAAAAATTGTTGATGCCTTGACAATTAAATAGTATATTGTTTCACATTCGTTGAGGTCGAGTGTATTCCGTAACTATGTGCAACAAGGTAATTTTGGAATTTTTATTTAATGCTCTTCTTCATTAGTACCCTTGGGAAAGTGAACCAGAACACGTTGACTATTGTTACTTACCTAGTACTCCAACGCCAGCAACAAACCAAAAGAAAATGTCGTAGTGCTGATCGATTGCTTGGTAAGAAGTAGTGACGGAAAAAGTGATTGCCGAAGATGCCTTAAATTAAAAAAAAACAAGTATTTAATAGATCTATTCTTGGGGCTATATAACTGTCCTGGGATTGCAATCAGAAAGCAATAATTATAGCCTCCGTACTACTCGGATTTGTTATTTGAAAGAGGTATAAATATTTGTTTTAGGTGAGTTTCTATTGTGCAACCAGCAACAAAGCTGGGGTATTTTTCCAATCTGTCAAGGTCTACTTGCTCTAGCAGAAAATGCCAACAACAAAACGTCAAATCCAAACCAGATGTAATTTTTGAAGAAATTACATGCATCAAGATAAAAGAAAGTGGGAATTCAGGTTGTTCATGGTGTTCGCTGATAAGTACAACTCGGAATAACGAAAATGCTCGTTGATATTAAGAGTTGAGGGTTCCGAGCTCTAGGATTCGCTTAAATCGCTTAACTCGTCTGTCTATCTCTCCGGTTCTCATTATTCTACTCCCTCACCACCCAGCTCACATTGCTAGGAGACGTGCTATTTTAGGGCGGGTAGTGAACTGGCGAGGGAACAGATCACTATGAATCTTTTAATAGAAAAATTGAAGACAAAATGCGGCTGAGTACTGGAACAAGCGCAACATGATTATTTTACTAAAAATCTGTTAGGATTATTCATTTAGAGAATAAAAAGTGTGTCTCATTTCCAAAAAATTTCATAGATTTTAATGCTGCTGAATACGTTGGCTATGAATAGATTTGCATGATAAGGAGGGGAAAGAAAGGAGTAAGGAAATAAGCACTGCACCCTCATCTTCTTTATTTTCCTGATTTTCGTACAAGTTTCTGCTAATTATCCCATTTTCTTGGCACTGTTAATAAAAATCGCATGCAGAGTACTGTGGACAGTTAAGTAATAAGTGTGAGGTAGAATTCAAAGCGATTAAAACTAGATTTTTTGCTTTAAGAGGCAAAACGCTTGATAAAAGTGGAATTCGTCGGCTTAAGGGCTATCGTTGGGAAATGCTCACAGGCTGTAATTTGAATGCTGAGGCAAAAAATAAGTTAAGAAGCTTTCCGCAACTGCGTAGCTTTGTTATAAAACTGCGTACTCTTAGATGACGATCTTAAACAAAAGTCGTTAATGTGAGTTAATTAGGAGGCTTCTTTTGTAGCTGATTTCTAAATCTGTTGGCATAATACACCTCTATCAAGGAGACCACTCGAAAATATACAGCTTGGGCAATTTAAACCAATCATTAATGAATAACTTAGAATAAAGAGTTCTGCGGAGTATTCAGGAAGGTGTACCCCTTAAGTCCTTTCATTAAAACCGCAATAATGCCAGTTATTTTTACTATGCAGAATCCATTTGACATAAATTTGAGGTTTATATTGAGAGACAGCGCTAGTTGAACAGTGGATTAATAGAATCACGGTCCACAAATACGCACAAAACAGGATTGCATTAGAGGTTGTAGACGACTAGGCTGACCGATGAAAGATCAAAGGTGTCAAATTGTAAAAAACCCCTTTTTAGCTTTACGCTGGCATACCCAGGAAGCCACGAATCCCATCCTCTACATATAAGTGATGACATAATTTACCTTTTTTCAAAGACAATGATAGGTCAAAGTTGCCATGATCTATTCAGGCATAACTCAACACCTATATTAGCGGCTACGTTGGTAAACTTACTCCAAAAGGCTAGCAAAGACCAAAATTTCGCTGCTTTTAAGTATTTATTGCCGGTGGGTAGATCGTCAGAGACACACTATCAAAACCACATGTCTTTCACTTAAAACTTTCCAAAAGATCATTTTTGAACATCCTTTTGAAATAGCACACACATTTTACGCGCAATTTTTAGTACACATCATCTCCAGAGAGATGGGACTACGGGGTATGGTCTCCTCAATTCCCCCATTATTTTGATTTATAATCGTATAGGAGGGAATCTGGAACAACCAACGTACCGAACAAAAACAGAAGGCTAGGTTAGTCCCAAAGTCCGACAGAGGAGCAATTGCTTCATTGTTAGCAACGGCTATAACCACGTTGACAGCGGCCATAGCAAAGTGGAGGCCAAAAACACAAAAAGCGTAGAGCATGAACGACTCCAGACCAATTTTCTTTACCAGAGGAAAGAGACCAACCAGAGTTGTGAGGAGCAGTAGAAAAAGTACAAGTGGCGCCTATGGGAGTGTACATAAATTTTCTATAATACGGCATATAATTGCAGCCTTGGTTTTAAAAAAGGACCTGATTTATTGTGATTTATCAGCACCACACATGTGAAGTGTGTTATATGACAGTTAATGACATATGATTATGCATAGAATGGTGAAAAAGATAAAATATGATTCTTGCCTAAAAACAAGTAGTGATTAAGCAACCTGGTAAATTTGATTCTTGGTTTCTTAATCACAAGTTTTTAAGGATTGTGAAAATTCCCGCCCACTAGAGCGCCTAACATTTGTGCCGTTTAAAATTAAACACATGTTTTCTGTTTTGACAAACTACCCTCGTCTAAATACACTCTTTGAAGATTCCCTTGTGTAGATAACGCCAGCCAGTACTGCCATATCCACTTAAGTTTTTTTCTATCTAAGAAAAAATTCTCATGTATTAGCTTTTGCATAACAGGTACAAAAGAGAATGTATTATGATTGACGACTTTCGCTCTACCTTAAAGGATGCCTTTGAACAGGCTAGTCTGGCAATTACGTAGCCAACGCAATTAAAAATACCGTTCAACGTAGCCACGATGACAAGGGAAATCGCATCAAAACCCGTGGCCTTTCCATATACCTAAAAGTGGACAGACGGCCAATTATAAACAAAGGAAAAAACCTGCTTTGTCAAAACGTATTGTTATTGTCTTTGTTTAAAACTTGAATACTATGAAATGAGTTCGGGCAATTTCATTGTTTAATTTTCTTAATCAAGTTATGAATTGCACTCAGAAATGTAAGGTTTTGCGTACCATAGACTCATTTAAATATTTCAGAGAACAAGAACCTGTATTTTAAGGATTTTTGCAATTAAGACTGCCAATCATACGAAAAAGGGGCTTTAAATTTAGGTTTATCCAGAATTTATGCCTTATGCATAAAAAATGGAAGAAAAGATGGTCACTTATCTCGGCATGCGAAATCAGTAGTATCATGCTGGTTGTAGTGTTATTTTGGATTGGAATTAAGTTATGCCTTATTTTTTTTACTATAGTGTTGCCGATTTTCGTCAATGGAATTACCGTGTCAACAGAAAGCGTTAGTTTAGTTCAAGCTTAGCATGAACTATGGGATCCAGTAATCCATGAATTTTCGTCCCACCCACTAAAATTTTATTTAAATAAATAAATGAAAACAAACCTTCACTTCAAAATTAGCATGTCATTTTAACGCGCTCATTAAAATCCAAAAAGGTCCTACAAAACGGCTTTGTCTTCTTTTCCATAAACATTGCTGCAACTAATGACGTGTATCGTACATCATAGATAGATGTAATGCCTTTGTAAACAGCATGCAATAATTATAAAGCAATGTTTGTTAAAGCTAACTGTTTGCTTACTTAGACACTCAGACTTTTTCCATGCTAGTTATAAATCTTCAAAGCTGCGATATTTCATGGTGACTTCAAGGGTGACTTGAGACACTTATTGCTGGGCGTTACGTGTCTGGAAAGACAACTGCACAGTCAAGTGCTTCAAAGATTCTACTTCATGAAATCCTGCTCCACTTTTATCCAACTTAAATTTCTTCTTAAGGTGATCGAAACCCACCACAAACTTTTTAAAAATCATAGGATTTTATTTTTAAGCTTATGCGCTGCATAATTTTTCGAATATAACAAATATTAGAAAAACGCAACTTTGGTCACCTTAAAAGTTGATATTATCGCCATCCTGGGTATAACGTTTAAAAAGTTCAAAGCATTCATGATGTGTATCTCGGGTTTTTTGACAGCTTCTTTGAAGTTTCGTTTGATGTTCTTAAAGCTAAAATTGGAATGGTTTTTCGGTAATCCTGCTAAAAAATATTACTTAAAGCACTGTCGAAAGTCAAAAATCACGTGAAAATTATCATAAGAGTCAAAGCCTTATTTAACAAATAACTATAGTCAAGATAGAGAGCCCATCATTTCGTTCTGTTCCCTTTGAAATTATGAAAGGTGGTCAGCATAACAAACAGGTACTTGTGCTTTTTGAAAAAAAAACCATCAACTTAAAATTATAGCAATCGTTGTTTGCCATGTACCACTGTTTACTATTCCCCTTTTAATGCAAATCGTCCATTACTTTGTGGCGTCTGACTTTGTTTTGAAAGGTGTGCAGGCATTGCTTGGCAAACAATTGTCCCGAAAACTTTTTAAATCTCCCGAAGGAATTAGTACATTAGTGCTGGTAAAGTTTAAGGCAAAATCCAGCTTTAAGTAACTAAAGAGTTATGAATTAAATCAAACCAGGTTCAAATGTTGCAGACTTTTTGATGTAGCGTTTGCTATTTTTCCCCCTGTTTCGCACAATTATCAATGCAAACCCTAAACAGAATACATTTCTGGATTTGAAATCTTGTTAAGTCTAAAGACTATTTACTTAGCACCAAAAAGAGAGGCCATGAAGTTCATGCTCAAGAATTGACAAATTGCATTATAAACCATCGTATACAATAGAGAGTATAGACATCGATTTAAACAAATGACTAGTAAATACCAAATAATGTAATATGATGCAAAAGGTACCTAAAACGCTCTAAATTTAGTTGTCCAAAAAGGAAAATAAAAAAGTAAGCTGTAATGTGAAACAAATATTCTTAAGAAAAAATATTTTGTATAAAACATCTTACTTTACGAATGCATGTCTTGACTGTTTTTCCTAAAAGTGTAAGGAAATGACCTTTTGAGCAATAAAGAACACATAAAGACGCACTTTACCCGGTGTATAAATGTGTGCATTATTTTTAGTCTTCCAACCCCTCTGTGGACCAACAACAAATTTTTTTTCCATGTCTTTTGCTACTCTACTCTATTTCAAAAGAACAACAGCTCACAATAGTCACGGAAAGAATTCATCTCTCGTAGATGGCTGGCTTAGAGTAGTCATGAAAATTTCATTTCTTGATTTCGAGTTATGCTAACTGGGAACAGGTTTTAATGTTTAAAACCCGACCTTACAGAAATCCTTGCTTTCGAGAAAGTGATTTCGCTTTTAGTACTGTTTTAAAGGAAGTATTATTCCAAATATACTCCAAATAGAACATCGTCTACTCACTAGCAATATTCAGCAAATCAATTGCTTTACTTAATTTCTTTCAAAGAGATACTCTATCCAATCACATTTATCGCGTGTACTACTACTTATGCCATAGGTAGAATTCTGGCTATGATATAGGATCTTGGCATCATCTTTGGTCTTGTCTCACGCCATGCGGCAACTAGTTGTGAAGACTCTTTGTAGTATTCGGAAAAGAAAGTAATCAATTCAAATAGAATTAAAGTACGAATGTTACCAAAATACCATGTTACCTTTGTAAAGCAAAAAGCGATGAAAGAGAATGTGAAAGCGATGGATTGGATAACAAAGATAACACAGCCCATTATTAAAAATATATTGGAGCAGGCCACCTCTGAACTGTGCAATGAAACAAATAGAAGTTTTAAGATTCAATTAGCAATAGATACATAATTTCTACCCTGAGCTCACATTATCTATAATTTGGTGTTGCAGACAAGTTTGGGCTGGTAAAATGCTGGAAAATGCTTGTTTTCCTGAGAATGTCTATGAGATGGTCCGTTATGGGAAGATTTAAGAGAATTGGGTGCTTATAGTCTAACAAGATTCGCACAGTTTCTCTACTTTTACTTAGCTTATGAGGAATATATTGTGCTAGACCTATGATTCAAAAATCTGTCTCTCAATTTAAAATATGAAATAGAAATTTTCTTTGCTGCATTGTGTGCTAGTGAGTAAGTCTACTTGTCATATTTGAAGCGGTAAGCAGCAAACACAGTTCGTTGTAAATGCATAACAACGGCATGGCCGGCGTAAAGAAAACCAAACTGAGGACATATTTTTAACTTACTGGGGACGATCGGGTAGATGTTCAGCTTCTATGACAATCGCTTGAAGAGGAACGAACATAATAGTGCCAAAACCTAAGGCTGATCCCACAATCCGCACTATGGTCTCACTGCGTTGTGGGTAATGCTTCAGCAGGGAATCAAGAGAGTAGAAGTTATAAATTACGAAATCACGAATACTTAAAAAACTGCTCATAAATTATTTAATCGACTTTAATAATCCTGCGTATTTAAAATAGTCATAACATTTACAGAATCAAAGGTTGAGAACGAATTTGTGGTTTATTTAATTTTAATAAGGGTCGGTTATGAGAATAATTGTTGTATTTAATTTGTTTAAAACTAATATTTTTATATTCTGTTCCAAAGCGAGTGTTTCGTTTGAATGGCATCCATATATATTACTGAAAAAGATTATAAAAAGAGATATTTCAGGTTTTTGCCAATGGTTGGTCGAAAATAATCATCAAATGAATTGAGGCAATAGACATTACAATCTATAATCCCTTACAAGTAAGCATATTCCTAAGAATGTTACTTTTGTAGATTTTTGCCCCTTTAATTTAAGAGGAACTAAATCATACCTCCCATTCCACCTTATTTTTGTTTTCCATCTAATTATGCAACCGATTAATGTCTAAGGAATATGGCAGCAGGGAATAAGGTGGTATACTCTCCGTCTCCACTTTCCTTTGGGGACCTCTTTATGTTCGTTTGCAAGATTTATCTCTTTGAACTAAATTTGTAGATTAATTCTGCTACTGCATACTATACTCGTTAAAATGTCACACAGGACCTTTGGAAGGAGCCTATGCAGTCTTGAAATGCAGTTAGACCCAATTTGTAAAGTTTGACTCACTTCTGCCCTATTTAGCCCACACTTTACGATGAAAGCTCGCTATAGCATAAATATTAGCGTCGATGATCTAATACCCGTCAATTCCTTGCTCTGCCTAGAAACAGAGACTTTTTTAAGTCTCTAAAAGTTAAA